CGCGGTGGCCGGGAAAGCATAGCAGACATCTCTGGATCCGATTCAGGCCTTGCCACCGTCCCGGAGGGTGACAGTGCAGTCGAATCTTCCTCTCCAGGGAGCTCTCCCTCCAATGCAGTGATCGACATCCGGTCGTCGGGAGGAGCACTGAAGGATACCGCTGGAACGCTCTTTGAAGAGGGCCCAGCACATTCCTTTGGCGGCTCAACTGGTTGTGAAGCGCTAGAGGAGCGATGGTCCCCTGAGGGTTGGTTCCCTGAGGGGTTTGCCACCACTGTAACCCTCAGACCACCCGTGCTACTGCCCGAAGTAGTCCACGCCTGGCTGCCACCAGGACGAACACTAGATCGCGGCAGCTGCAACGGAACAGCGATCGTGACCATCACCCGGCGCCAGGTAACGACCGCATCCAGAAACGCACGGGTGAAACGGCATCTTTAAGAAGTGGATTTGTCTCTCTAAGCGAGATCCCAATTCGTCGGTCACAGACGTGACTGGGAGTGACCGACTGGAAGGGAACCGACAATTGGTTTACTTTAACACTCTTACCTTATTAAAGCAAATCCATGCGACAATGGAAATAAATTCATCAAAAGACTTAATCAAAGACTTGAATTGAACAAAAAACTGAATTTAACATTGGCCTCTAGCTTAAATTATATTTTAAATTTTTACTTAATAAAAAAGGTTAATAAAAATCTAAATAAAAAACACAAAATATGCATCAGAATTTACTCTATAGTAGTGTATCCGAATCCTTTCCGCTGTTGCACAATTTTATTTAACAAGAAAACAAATCTATGCAATCTCTCATACCAAACAAATAATTTCTATTACTATAAATGTGTTTAAATTAAAGTTTTAAAATTTTCTCACTAACAATTGTTAATCATATTTAATGGGTGAAAAACAAAAGCTTTGCTGTTGACTGTAAGGATATAGCGTGACCAAGAAAAGGCTTTTTATTGGTTTTTGTTCAAAGACATCCCTTTATTATTAATCATTTTATTGCCATCTTTTATGCATCATGTGCTTGCAAAGTGAAGAAAATGGATTTATTAAATAACAATGTGTAATAGAGGATTAAATACATGTGTCATCAACATATCGTCAAAACTTATCACTACTGCAATAGACATCATAACATGATACACAAAAAAAATTGCAAAAAAAATTACAGATCTAAGACCACATCTATGCGCTGTGGACTGGCAAAACATTTAGCCTCTACACTGACATGAGAGGGAGCAATGGTAGATTTATCTCCTCACCTTTGGCCCATGGGGTTGTAGATTTCATTGCTCTGGCAGCCACTTATAGTGATGGGGTCAAAATATTGAAAGGAGCGCAGACCAACACCTGAGATGGCCACCAGAGGAGAGCTGAAGCTCACTATAATGGCTTTTGTCCGGTAGAAGGCCACACTCAGGTCATGACTCACAGGAATCACCAGTGGATTATTCCGGCAGCTCAGCCTCCAGTCCCCTAAAACCATCCAGCCGCGGCAAAAAATTATACAGTACAAAAATCACCTTCCACTTTAATTTTCTAGAAACATACAGCTTGGGGTAAAAAGTGTGTTCAAATGTTATCGAGATTGGGCTGAGACTGACCGAGAGGGTGGGTTTGCTCCTTAGTGTCCAGCAGCTGAACAGTAATGTTGTGTTGTCTCTGGTCGATGTCGGCTGTTCCGTCAGCAGCCAGATGTATAATGACTGCGGCAGCCACCATAGGATGGGCGTAATAGGCCTTTTGGGAGAAAAAAACAAAATAAAATAAAAAAAAACCTCACTGACAATCAGTTCATTTAATTGAAAATTGTGACTTTACCAAGTAGCATGTGCTTCTGGATCAAAATCTTTTATTGATCAAACACAATAACAAACTTATTTTTAACCCCCATCTTTGTCCTAACTCTTAAATTTTTAGGGAAATGAGGTTCAGGGTTCCTACACCTATCGACCAATGAATTTCCCCTGACTCTCCCAGTCATTTGTGATTACTGGACATAGATAAAAAAAAAATCATTTTATTGAAATTGTGCTTACAAAGAGTATTCAAGCAGAAAAATGTATATAAAAATGTTAAAATTCTGTAAAATGCATAGGTTTCCCATGACTACTTGAAACCTGTAGATTGATAATAAAGTTGTTTTAGTTTCAAACCCTAAACCTAAAATCTGATTGGTTTATAAGAATGTTGTTTCAGGAATATTTACTACTTGGTGAAATCATGGTAAGTCACATGATCATATAGATTTATGCACCTGATGTGACATGACATCAATCTGTTCAACTGAAACCAAAAAGATACATTATCATGCTCTTACCTTCAGCCAAAATTGTGAAGTCCAGCTGTGCTGCTGAGACTCCTCACAAGGAAACCAAGCGTACTGAGACACGTCATGTGACAGGTCAAACACCTTCGACTGACAGCTCTAAGCAAACAAACATAAGAGATATTTACTGTTTTTCCTCTTCCTTAGTTACTTATTGAATGTGGCCAATAAATTTTTTTTTTGAGCAGCAAATCAGCATATTATTTCTAAAGGATCATATGACACTGAAGACTGGAGACTGGAGTAAATTAAACTGAAAATTCAGCTTTGCCTTCACAGGAATAAATGACATTTTAAAACATATTAAAATAGAAAACATTAATTTTATATTGTAATAATATTTCACAATATTACTGTTTTTACTGTATTTTTTCAAATAAATGCAGCTTTGGTGAGTATAAGAGACTTCCTTCAAAAACAAAGAAATCTTAACAACTTCAAACTTTACAGCATATTTTTGGACTGCAAACATAAAGGCACTAAAACAGAGTAATGATGAGGCTACAAGCCTGTAGTCCACAATGAAAAGGGAAATTAGACCATCTGGAAGCTCACAATTAGGTTAAGGTTAAGGTGCCACTCCAGATCCGTCTAAAAGCCAGTGAAATCCGGGTGAAAAGGGTGAACTGACCTACCACTCTCTTCTGGGAACTATGAGATCAAAACTGGCCTGAACTCTAGTAACTGTTGAGTTTCAGAATTACTCCCATGAAGAGGTTTGACTCTCTGTGTGAGAGTGAAGTTCACCAATCATACAAGCCTTCAGGGAGGGTCAAGTTGGTTCAAAAGGAAGTACTGTACATTGCCAGTAACAGTTTTCTGACATTAAAGGCAGCTTAGGAAATTTTATCAACGAAAAAGCTGAAAATGAGATTTTTTAATTATTACCTTTTTTTTTTTCAGGGCAGAGCAAAAAATTATACTCAAGTAAATACACACTTAAGTAAATGCACACATTTTTCTATGCAGCTTTTTATTTATTGACCCATTTATTTTTTTCCTCATTTCCCTCAAGTCCATATTCAAAGGGAAAATTCACCCAGTTTTCATGTAAAAGCCTGTTTTTAATAGACCATTTTAGCTAAATGCTGATCTAAATGCCTTTCTAGTGGTATTTTAACTGAACAGCTAACTCCTAGTCCAAGTCTTCTAAACTCTTCGCCCTTGTTTCACGGTGAATAGCATCGAGTGTATTTCATTTCACTGTAGAATAATGTGACAGAGAACCTCACTGAACCCCTTGAACCCAAATGTGGGGTGACAGTGTTGCAACGCTAGGTGACACCGGAGAGCTGCACATTTCCTCACCGAGTGAATGGCACTAATCATGTGTTCAATGTTTGTGTATGTGTAACAGCAGCGGGAGCAGATCAGGACAGCAGTGCTTTCACTTAAGCTGTCTCCTAAACCTGCACAATAGACGTCCCCAGGATTTTTGGGGTGATATGCAGAGGGTATTTTCTGCTCGGGCAGCAGTACAGGTGTGCCGGTAACTGTCTGGCTTTTACGCTGACTTCATTTCCCCTTCATACATTTATCTTTTATTTTTTGTACCTCATTAGCAAATTATTTGTTATATATGTGTGTGTGTATACAGTATTTATAAATGATACTAAAATATCACTGATAGAGATATATTTGAATTAGTTGTTATTTTTATTGTTTTCATTTTAAACTTAAAGTTTTAGTAATGTTGTTGTGTGTTTTTGCAATTTTTAGTAGTTAAACTAAATAAACTAAACACATGTTGCCCTGGCTACTACCTGAAATAAAATATGTAAAGTAAAATATAAAATACTTTTATATATTAAATAAAATATATAAATATATATATAAAAAAATATATATATATACATAAAAGGGTGAAATAAAGATTTTTTTGTATTATTTTCATGTAAATTGTGCATTTAGATATTTTTATGGAAAACAAGTCAACATAATGATAAACAATGAGTTTTGCAGTGCAGTATAATGCAGTGTTTCCCAACTGGGGTGCCGTCTGTCGAGAGAAGGGGTGCCGTGTAAAAAATCATTTTTTAAAATATTTTTAAATTGCTAAAATGTTCATAAAAGCAGCTATTATATAATATCCATTTCTGATGTCGCCAATAATTAGGTATTTTCTGCTCGGGCAGCAGTACAGGTGTGCCGGTAACTGTCTGGCTTTTACGCTGACTTCATTTCCCCTTCATACATTTATCTTTTATTTTTTGTACCTCATTAGCAAATTATTTGTTATATATGTGTGTGTGTATACAGTATTTATAAATGATACTAAAATATCACTGATAGAGATATATTTGAATTAGTTGTTATTTTTATTGTTTTCATTTTAAACTTAAAGTTTTAGTAATGTTGTTGTGTGTTTTTGCAATTTTTAGTAGTTAAACTAAATAAAAATCACACATGTTGCCCTGGCTACTACCTGAAATAAAATATGTAAAGTAAAATATAAAATACTTTTTTTCAGTTAAAAATAGTAATAAACATGTTTTTATGGTTTTAGTTAACTATAATAGTATATATATATA